CTACACTTTTTCCAAGACACATTGGTTTGTTCTTTTGGCAGTCTGTGGGATAGTCATCACTCTTCTCCAACAACACAACTCAAAGGCATCAATTGTTCTGTATTACTTATTTACCATCTAGTTCTAGGATGCATGGCAGGTAATTGAGAAGACTGTGGCCTGAATCAGGTGCACCTTAGTCTTCAAATTACATCACGGCACCTCAGCTTTCTGGAGAAGTCCCTGACAGCAGACTTGTCCAATGGAATATATTTCCTTCTGATTGCTTTACCAAGGGTATTGATTATTGATCCAAGCAAGATGAAATCATTTGAAAGCTTCAATGCTTTCTCCATGTAACATAATGTTGACTGTTTCTCCTTGACATCTACACACTTGCCAATTTCATGTTAAGTGGGAATATACTAATTGATCTTTTTGTGACCAACTTATCTAATTCAGTGTAGTATTTACAAGTTCATCCATATTGTAACATGGATAAGTACTTCATTTCTATCCATGGCTAAGTAACATCCTATTTTATGTACAGACCACATTTTTTAAGAGATAATATATACATTTGTCAGCTGGTGGGCGTTCACGTTGTTTCTGCCTTCTGACTGTTGTGAAGAGTGCTGCAGTAAATACTGGTGTAAGGTTAAATACTATTTGCATCCCAACTTTCATTTTTGGGTGCATATACCTACAACTGTGATAGTCATAGCACCTGTGCCATTTTACATTCACATCATAAGGGCTCCAATTTCTCCATAATCTCATCAATATCCTTCCCTTCTTACTTTCTTCCTTTTTGATCACAATCATTCTACTGTGAGAGACGTGGCATTCATTCTTGCATCTAGCTTTGGTTTGCAACTCTCTAATGACTAATGGCATTGAGTATATTTGCATGTACTTACTGATTATTTATGTGTCTTCTTTGGTAATATTCTACTGAAATCCTTTGTCTGTTTTGATTTATAAAGCTGACTGCCCTTGTATTGTTAATCTGTATAAACTATATTCTGCATACCAAATCCTTATCAGATCTATGGCTTTCCACAATTTTCTCCCTATATATAAGGCAGCCTTTTCCCTTTGTTAAGAAAATATAGAATAAACTCTTAAGAGAGATCTGGTGGCTTGCACTGCCAACCCAAAGGCACGCTGTTTGAATCTACCAACTATTCCATGGGATGAAGATGGGTAGTCTCCTCCCATTCAAGTCATTGCTCTAACAACTCATTGGTGGGCCAGCTATGAGTTATATATAAAACAATGGTACATAACAACATAATTAACTCTAACCTTTTTCCTTGGGTGCCTATTGATTTGTTCTTTATTGTATCTGAAAAGAGATTGACTTAACACACACTTTACTGCACAAGAGATCTAGACATCAAAGGTAAGCTTTAATACATGTATAAGCCTGAACTAAAAGTAGTAACAAGTATAAAACCAGAAGTGCATGCATAGGCAGATGGGCATAACCACAAGAAGCCTTGGGAGGAATCCTGGAGTTTTGTCCCCATGTGAGTATAGGAATTAAGGATTCTATTTAGGAATTTAGTTCTATTTCTGAAGTATTAAATAAATGCTTAAAAAATACACAATCCTAAATCAGGAGTAATAATAAACATCAGTCTACAAGGGGATATATAGACAGACAAGCAAGGCAAATAGATACAGAAAGGTAAAATTGATATACTCATGGCCATACAAAGGTCTGTCAGATGCAGTTTCTACGTACATGTGTATATTGTAAATATATCCATGTATGTGGTAGAGTCAATATGCATCCAGGTTATGTGAACGTCTTAATAACTAGGCATCCCGAGGAAATGAGTTACTGTTCGATGGCCTCAGGACAATAACTTCAGTGGCCTTAAGTGACACAAATATCGTCAACAAAAACAAGGTTCTATATCCTATTTTGGTGAGTGGAAACAAGTTCGTAAAAAGCTTGATTGAATCAAAATAACTGAGATATCATCTCACTCCAGTAAGAATAGCAAAATTTAACAGAAAAGCAAACATGAAATGCTGGCGAGGTTATGGAGGAACTGGAACCCTTACTCACTGTTAGTGGGAGTGTAAAATGGTGCAACCACTATGGAAGGCAGCTATATGGCGCTTTCTCAAAAAGCTGTAAACAGAAATATCATTTGACCCAGGGATTCTACTACTGCGAATTTACCTTAAAGAAACTATAACTACTATCCAAGCAGATATATGCACATCTATGTTTGTTATGGCTTTGTTCACAATAGCAAAGAGCTGGAAACAACCCAAGTGCCCATCAAAAATGAATGGATAGAGAAGCTCTGGAATACTAGGCAGCACTGAAAAACAAGGAACTCATGAAATATCATACAAAATGGGTGACCCTGGAGGACATTATGCTGAGTGAAATATCTCAGTCACAAAAGGACAAATATTGCACAGGGCCACTGTTGTAAAACGGGACTGACATCAGGGTTGAGGGAAGATGGAAAAGGAGGGGAGGAATGATATATATTGCATTGAAACAGATGAGGGATAGATCTGTTTAAAAGGGATATATGAATGGGTATTCTTGTCACTATAGAAGTCCAGAGTGAAGGCTGCATAGTGGAGTGAACTTGGGGGAGCAGGCATTGCATAACAATGAAAGAGTTTTTCTTTTTCTTTTCAAGGAAAAGAGTGATTGGGGAGAGAGGGTGGGCAGGGAGAAAAGAGCAACAATGAATGACTGGAAACCCTAAGGCTCTATAAATTTTCATTAAAATTAGTAAGCAAATAAATAATTTTTGAGTGAAAGCACACTGACTGAATTTACAGGGGGAAAAAAAGCCATGCTCTATACCAATACTACCTCATTAACATAACAAAGAAAATCCATCCGAAATAGGATTATAACTATATGCATTGGGGTCAGAATTTGCAATATATATTTTTAAGAGTAATCATAGACTGACATCTGGAAATTCAGACTCACTGGGATATCCCTGTAAGTTTACTGGAGGGAGAGCACTATTTCCTTAGGCTTCCAGAATCTCTCCTATTCTGTCTGCCTCTGAAAGAAGCCTGAACACCACAGTCCTTCTCCCTGTCTTGCAGTTAAGTAGATTATGCTACTGTTAAAACTATCACAATTCTTTTCTTTTATTCAGAGAATATAGAGAAGGTGGCTATAATAGCATTTTCACATGAGCAATCTCTACTCTGAAATCTGTTTCACTATCACATGTGAAAAATTTCCATTTTAATATGAAATATTATGAAATCTAGAAAGAGGTATCCAGAATAACAAACACAATGCACTCACTACTTAGCTTTACCAAGTCAAAACATTTTGTAAAATTTAATTTCAGATCTTTTTTATAAAAAAATGAAACATTATAAACACACTTTAAAACCTTGTTTTCATTCTCTCCTTTCAAAAAAAAATTTTTTATTATTATTTTTGTGTGAGTGTACCATCAAATCAGATCTGACAGGTACAGGAGGAGATTTTCCCTCCTTCCCCGGCAGAGCATCTGGTGAATTCGAACCGTGCGCCTCTGGGATTGTAGTTGCAGTTCCTTGCTCATTCTCTCCTTAATATCATGACCCACCTTCTAGGAAAGCTGTTATCTTGATGTCAAGATGTACTAATAATATACATATCTTTAGAAATACTTTTAAATTAAATGAATAAGAAGAATATATAGAACTACTTCCTATAAAGCAAATTGAAGTCAATAAGATACAAGAATCCTTTTAAAGTATATTTTTTCTAGGGAGCTCCAGTGGCCTATTGGCAAGAAACCGTACTGCAATCTAAAAGGCAGGCAGTTCAAGTCCACCAACTGCTGTGTAGGAGAAGGATGGACAATCTCCTCCCATCTCTCTTCAGTGCTTTGCTGTCTCTGAAAACCTGCTGGAGGGTCAGCTATGGGTCGGTTCTGACTTAATGGTACACAAAACTATCACCACAACACTGCGGAAGCATACAGTTTTAAATAAATAAGAGTATTAAGTGGTATGTGTACTAAATGTGAAAACTTACAAAATTATAAAAATATGTCTAGTTTATTACATGTTACCTGTTCAAAGCATATACTTTAAAAACGCAAAGTTTATTTATGCCAATTATACCACGATGAAAAGAGCTATGAAAGCACTTATGAAAGATCAGTGGTTCAAATCCACCAGCATCTCTGTAGTACAAAGGATGTGTCAACCTGCTCCCATACAGATTACATGCAGCAGCCCAGAAACCTGAAGGGTGTTTCTATTCTGCCCTATAGGGTCACTCGGATTTAGAATCAGTTAGATGGCACACAATAACCTCAGCAGTCATCTTCTTAAAAAGCTCACACAAAAGTAAGAGTATAAAGGAGAATCCTATCTTTGCTCTTCATGCTGTGCTTTTATCTTCTAATCATTTCTAGAGGCTTTTGTCAAGATTAAGGAAAAACTCACCTTCTCTTTAGTTGTCCTAAAAACAAACAGCATATTACCTTAGATATGTGAGAAATATGTAGAGAGAGAAGAGCATTACTAACAAGAAGACAATTTCTTGGAGAAATATTTCAGAGAAAGCGACTAACATGAGAATTTAGTTCTCAACAACGTTTTGCTTCCTATTAGAATGCACAATTAATATCCTTGCTGTGGGCAGTATTTACCAGTGTTAATACCTAAATTTCTCCATTAGGACCCTCACATGGTAAGATCCCACTCTATCAGATTCAATGATGAAACATGATAATTCAATAACACCAATCAGCCAACACAATTTCTCCCACTGAGGACATTTGTCCTAATATTCTTTTCAAAGGTTATAATCATTGTTTTCTTTCTACAACTAACTCCATTTTCATATTCTCTTGTTCTTTAAAAGGGATCAAGCAGAAAATCCCTAAGTTATACCTCACTAAGGACCTGAGCCCTGAAGTCACAATTTAGCCCAAAAAACTTAAGACACAATCAGCCTCAGTGACATGTCAATTGTTGGACTGCAAAGTCCTCAAACACAAAAGCAAGTAAGTTCCTACCATCTCCAAAAAGATGTGTCACGAGTTTGGTGAGTGTCTGCTTCAGGTTGAACTCCACCAGCTTCATGGCCTCCATGGTGTGCGTTTCCTGCTTCTGGGCCGAGCGAGAGCTCTGCTCAAAGAGCTGCAGGCTCTCCCCATCCTTTACACCAGCGAACAACTGTCAACAAGAGGAGTCACATGAGTGAGTTCAAATTGTTCCCAGCCCAGCGCAGAACATATGATGGAAAATTACGCTACAAACAATTTCTTACTCCAAGATACAAGGTGGGAGTAAAATCCTTTATGCTTTACAGTCAATAAGCTCTCTGGTAGCACAGTGGTTAAAGCATTCAGATGTCAACCAGGATCAGCTGTTTGAACGCACGGGGAGAAATATGTAGCAGTCTGTTTCTGTAAAGATTTACCATCTTGGAAACACCATAAGGTAATTTAGTTCTGTCCTGTAATCACTATAGTCTAAACTTGGTCATTTCCTTGGAAGCACCTATGAAACATATTCTGACTAAAAATTCCAACTGTAAGAAGGTTATATTGTCCTTAGGGTGAGATAAGAGTCTTTGAAAGACTGTATCATCTTGGCATAAAATGCCATAATATTTACAAAGGCAATAATAGTGAGATTTTTCAACCCCTGTATCTACCCATGCAATCAGAAACCCACTGGAAGGTCAGCTAAGAGTCAGTTCCAAATAATGGCAATGAGAAAGAGAGAGAGAAAATCTGCACAGCACAGAAGAGAAACTAAAGCTATTTCTGCCACTCACTATTCATAAAGACTTTCTGTTGTAATTAAATCCCGTTAACTGTGAATCAAGTCATTAATAAGATAGCGAAGTTTCAGCTGCTTGTGTGTCAAAAGGGAATACTACTAACTTATTAGACTCAAACAGAATTAAGTATTCTAGAATCCTGTTCTTCTCAATCTTAGCTATAATTTGTTATGATTTACACAGTCAAATAACCTTCACAGAGTCAATAAAGAACAAACACACATGCTTCTGGAAGTTTCTTCTTTCAGCAAGGATTCATTTGACATCAGCAATGATTCCCTGGTGCCATAACCTCTTCTAAATCCAGCCTGAATGTCTAGCAGTTTTCCATGTACTGTTCTAGGCATTTTTAAATGATCATTAGCAAAATTTTGCTTGCATGTGATATTAATGGTAATTTTCAATAATTTTCACATTCTGTTGGGTCACCTTTCTTGGTAATGGGAACATTGTTTTTATCCAGTGAGTGGGCTAGGCAGCTGTCCTCCAAATTTCCTGGCATATGAACAAGTTTCCTGTTCATATTCAGGGCTGCATCTGTTATTTGGAGTATTTCAACTGGTATCCCATCAATTCCTGGGTCTTTATTTTTTGTCAGTATCTTCAATACAGCTTAAACTGCTTCTTTCATTAACATTGACTCTCGATCACATGGTACTTCTAAAATGTTTACGTGTTGCCCAATTCATATTGGCCATGGTTATTATTACTCATTAGCTCTGTTTGCCTGTGTGTAGGGAGTCGTACTGCTAACACAAAGGTGGCATCTCTCTGGCAGTTCAAAATTCAGCAATAACCCTAAGACAGAAAAATAGATAATCATCTCCTATGAGACTCCTAGGCCCTCAGAATCCACTGGAGTTCTGACTCAACAGCAATGAAGAGCTTTTAGTATTATTAGTCATAAGCTGCTTTATCAATGAAATAAATGTCCCACCTTTAGCAATCTGTTGTTGTTATTAGATGCTGGGGAGTTGAGTACGACTCCCAGCAGCCCAATGTGTTGCTCATAGTTCTCATCAACAACAGATCTTAAACCTCTCCTGTTCTGCTCTGTCCTCATTACCAAGGATATACTCAAGCCCACTGCTGCAGCATCTCATTGTCGGTCTTCCTCTCTTTGGCTAACCTTTCCAAGCATGATTATTATTTGCTATCTTCTAATGGAACTGCTGAAGATTAAGAACTAAGAAAATAAATCTATTGTTCTTCCTGAGTAAAATCCTATGATATTGAATACTTAGGATTTGGGTTTTTTTTTTAAATAAAATAGTGACAACTTCTATTTATGTTAATGTTGGTAATTAGAACCAAACTCTCCTGACAAATGCAACTAAAAATAAGGTTTTTTAAAAAAAATAACTGTAAAAGTTTGTGTCTTTTAACCTGCATTATGCAGATGACACAAACCCTACTTGCTGAAACTGAGGAGGAGCTGAAGTGCTTGCTGCAGAAGGTCAAGAACTGCAGTCTTCAATATAGATTGAAGCTCAATATCAATAAAATAAAATAAAGCTTCTCACCACTGGGCCAATTGATAGTATCATGATAGATGGTGAAGAGACTGAGACTGTTAACAGCTTTAGTTCGTCTGGCTCTACAATCAGCATTCTTGGCACCCAGCAGCCAGAAATTAAAACACATATTGAGTTGGTAAAGTCTGCTGTCAGAGACCTCTCCAAAGTACTGAAGAGCAAGGGTGTCAGTCTGGAGACTAAGGTGCACCTGATACAGGCTTTGCAATCACATGCTATGCATTGGAGAGCTAGGCAATGACTAGGGAGGATAGAAAGAGAATTGACGCCTTTGAGCTGTGGTGCTGGAGGTAAGTATTAAATATACCATTGTCTGCTAAGAGAATGAACAGTTTCATCCTGGAAAGGGTTAAACCAGGCTGCTCCTTGAAGGCAAGGATTCTGAAGCTTCATCTGACATATTTTGGACATGTTGCAAGGAGGGAACAGTCCTTAGAGAGGGACATCATGTATGGGATGTTGAAAGGACAGTGCAGGAGAGGAAGACTCCCAGTGAGATGGATTGATTCAGTGAGTAGGGTAATGGGGGTAAGTGTGTCAGAGACAATTAGAGTGGTACAAGATAGAGCAAGGTTTAATGCTGTTGTACACAGGGTCACTATGAGTCGCAGGAGACTTGATGGCATAGAACAACATTGTAAAAGTAACAGTTGAGAGAAATTACCAAAAAAGAAATGCAAACCCCATTTAACTGCAACTATATGTGAAAAGAATGATGTAAGAAAGTCATCCCAGTGATTCCCCCATCCCCTATTTCCACCCCTTCTCACTTTCCACTTCCTATTTTGAACATTTATACACATTTTACTCAATTATCATTCCATTTTCACAATAATGGTATTATTCTGTCTTTGTCTTTATGAAACCAAATTATTTCGCTCAGTATCACATTCACTAGACATTCCCATATTATACAGTACTTTACTAAAGTGTTCCTTTGTGCTATAGCACGTCATTATGTGAATGTACCACAATTTCTCAATCAGAAGTTAGTAGGCAGGGGTGGGTGGGAGTGTGTGTGTGTGGGTGGGTGGGTGTGGGTGGGTGTATGTGTGTAAAGGAACAGGAAGGTTTCAATGAGGTCTTGAAAAAAGGGTGATACTGTACAACATGAATAATTTTTTTTAAAGTGAACTAGGAGAGAGGTGGGGTGGGGATGTGCAACACTGAATGAATGAAAACTAACTATTCTGTAAAGTTTCATTAAAATCACAATTTAAAAAATCCAGGGTGACAGTAATTAATTATCTAAAATACAAAGTATAGGAATGAAGCACAGTGTAAATGAAACATAGTACAAAACACAATGCACATGCATGAAATACAATGTTTATGAATGATTGGATTCAAACCAGTAACAAGTATGTAAACGTGGACAAAAAGAGAAAGAAAACTAACTTTTAGGCAGAGAGGTTTTAAAGGCCACAGAAATCTTTACAGTGGTGGTGGTGCTATTAGGAGGTGGAGAGCTGACTCAATGCTATGAAAAACATGTGAACCTTGCCCCAACCCGCACCATCCTCAGGACCTCTGCCATGCTCAGTGAGCTCACTGCTACAGTCACCATGCCAATCCATCTCAGTCAGAGTCTTCCTCTCTTTCTCTGACCCTCTACTTTTCCAGTCTTTGAAGAAGTGAAATTAAACCTCAAGCAAAAGAACACTGGATATGACAATCTTTTATTAATGCCAAATGTTTCAAAGAACAACGAATGTAAAACTTAAATTCTCCATGTTAAGTACAATAGACATGCTTATGTAACAAAAAAATGTGGAAAAGCAAAACCATATTAACACAATAATAATTTTAGAAGGAGATACCAAAAAATGCTCTGCCAAAAATCTAGTGCATAAAATTAAGGAGATACAAGATTTAAATGATATCAAGTAAATATTACACAAGAATATAAAACTGTATTACTTGATAATGGAATACACTTTTTAAAAGAGCTGAAGACCTAATAGAAAATGTATGGGGGAAAAAGCCATCACATATTGGGTCACAATGAAAGCATCAGCAAGTAATCTATATTACTTCCACCTATAAGTAAGAAATAATAAATTATACTTTCTAACCAGAATTACATGAATTGTATGAAATGAAAAATCATTAACAAAAGCAACAGAAAAAACAATCAAACACAAAAGAGCCCTACCAGTTGGAAATGTTTTTTAAAGAAGAGAAAACAATTTCAGGCAAAACATTTAACAAAGAGCTAATTATCACTGACATAGAAATAACTCCTTAAAGCTGACAGAGACTTTAAACACACACAACATAAAAATTATTCATAAACATGAAAAGGGTAAATTTTTAAAGTTCAAATTTAAAACACCATTGAGATTTTTTTTTCAACCATCAAATCTGAATAATTGAAAAGCAAGACAACACATTTTATGACAATGCTTGCGGACACATGATCACTCATATATTGCTTGTCAACGTTGAAAGTGTGGAACTTTTTTATAAGGAAATTGGGCACTGGCCAACAAAACCACATTTATATTCAGCTCCTGCCCCAGCACTTCCACTCCTAGAAATTTACCTTCAAAGGATGCTCCCACAAGTGTATGTTGGTTTTGGGTGCCATCCCGTCAACTATGATCCACAGCAACCCTCTGAACAAAAGATCTGAACCTTTCTCCATCTTCACCATTCTGATATGCTTGAGTCCACTGTGTCACTGTGTCAGTCCACTACAACGAGGATTTTTCTCAATTTCTCTGACCATTTCCTTGCATGATGCTTTCTCCAAGGACAATTCCCTCCAGACAACATGGCCAAAGTATGTGAGATGAAGTTTCACCATCTTAGCCTTTAAGGAGCACCCTGGTTACACTTCCACTAAGACA